AATTTTTTTTGCACTTCAATATGCTAGGCTTAAGAAGTGGGTATAAATCAGTTTTTTGAAAGTCGTTTTTTTTATATATATTTTTAACTAAATAAAACGAACATTTTTCTATGTTTACAAAAAAAAACTTTTTGTAAATCTCAGAAAAACGTAATTTTCATGAACAAGGAAAGAGTGAAAGATAGCAAATTTAATTACCTTTCTTCGGATATACTATATGTTTTCATAAATATACGGGTTCCATAGATATTAGATATTTTTATGATCGAACTTTTTTCTTTTCTTCAAAACCGTTATGCTGCGATATCTCGAAAACTACACTAAGGAAAAAAATTATTGTTATTGTAGTCAATGCTCACATTATAATAAACCACCGACGATAACTCGGCACCAAAAACGTTTGCCACAATTGCTGACGTGTGTTACGTTTAATGTGATTACACAACTCTGTACATAAGCAGGATTTCCTTATCAAAACAAGAAAACTTGTTTTTAATCTCAGAGTACATCGTTATAAATATTTTCCAAAACAACTCATTCAAAATGCTTTGCAAAAACAAACATATTTTGATATGTTTTCCCTACAAAGGTTTCGCGCTTGCATATGTACATACATATGTATGTTATGCATGTGCATGATGTGCATGCATCCTACATATAAGTATATACATACATATATACATACATTCATACATATTTATGTTACAGTAGGGGTATTCACGATCCGGTGCATACTGTCTAGCATGGTGCATAGATAGTATAAATAGCATGATTGGCTAATTTTGCTGTTGTTTGAACACATGAAACAACAACAATCATGCTATTCATCCTATCTATGCACCATGCTAGACAGTATGCACCGGATCGTGAATACCCCTAATGTTCTGTTTTTAATCTTAGCATTGAGGGTCATATCGTCACAACACGCTGCAATGAGCAACTGCAGACAAACAAACGGAGCCTACCTGCTATTGTTTTAGCAATTGATTACTGCACTTGCCAATGTTAAGTGGGTGACAGGTAATAAGGTCAATGGAAATAATGTCAATTGACTTTATTTCCCACCCTGGTGCGAAATAAAGTCAATTGACATTATTACCTTTTCAAAAGCGAAATAAAGTCAACAAAAATTTGGAAATAAAGTCATTGACGCTATTTCCTCATTCAAATGGAAATAGCGTCAACAATGCTTAAAGTATGTCGATTCANGTGATAAACAATGTAAACAAAACTTCGATACCTTACGGTTACTTACATACATACATACATACATATGAGAGTAGATACGTATGTACATATGTACATACATTCTTCTTTGCATAGCATAGTTTGCAATAAAAGGATGCGTCTCGTCCAAAAAATGTCAGTTCGCTTTTAGAGACGCTTTGATGCTAAGAAATATAAAAAAAAAATTGGAAAATGTCGGTTGTAAATGTTTCGCTTGCTAAGCATTTGGACTTGCTCGCCCTTTTATTAACCTCAATGCTGTTAAAATTTTACATACAGATGTCTATAGCCATAAATCGATTAAGATTTATTCGAGCAATCACCTTCATAGCTGGAGCGTTGGCAGTTGACAATGAAATTAAACTCATTAAGCATGAATTCAGTGAGTTAAAATATTCACCAATACAAGTGGTGCTTACCACCTCCTCTTGCTGACGTTGCTGAAACGCCTAAAAGCAGAAATTCTTTGGCAAGACGTCGATTGAATTTACGTAAATTAAATCGGTTTCAATATTGTCGACACTTAAGGGAAGTGCGAAGGACGCTTGAATTGTAAATACATAGAATAGAACTTGTTAATAAGAAAAATGTCAATATTAGTATATAAGTAAGTAGTCATGTACCGTTAAATTAGAGAAAATATTTATGTATGTATGTATGTATGTATGTATAGTATAACAGTACATAAGTATATGTAAATAAAAAAATTGAGAAAATTAAAATTTTCTTTCTAAATTTTGAGAGATAAGAAATGTATTTGATTTGCAGCACACTTTTGCCACTTGCAAGCGCAAAATTTTTTAATGGCTTAAGTCGAAATTCTTGCAATTTTATTCTCTTATACCGACGTGCATATCATTTTCGCTGTTCATTTCATGAGAAATTGGGCCTTAATGCCAAATCGTGCGCAACCACGGCTTAGATGCTAGTTTTAGAAAATGAAAAGATTCGAATAGCTCAATATACATATGTATAACAACATACAAAAGGAAATGGTTCAGACACCAAGATGTATAGATATTTTAAGGAAATTGTGGATATACATATGTATGCAGCTCATCTCGCATTATTATAGCGTTGTACTTGAAGTTGTACTGAAGGTATTATATTCTTTTTTGATTTTAAAAACTATTCTATGACAAGATGTCATTGTTAAAAAAAAAAATTTGTTAATCAATTTCTTGAATTTTATATATTTACCAAAAAGTTGGCATTTTTTTTAAATGCGCTTTTTTATTTAAACAATCTGGACACCCTGATTATAACTGTATTCGTAAGCGGAATGCAATCGTCAAAGTCGATTTAGGAAAACCGAAGAAATTGCAATTTTCTCTCCTAAGAGTGAGTTTGAGGGAATTTTTTCTTACTCTCTGATATTTTAAGTGATGGATAAAGCTTGTTGATGTTCGACAAAAAACCTATTTTTGGTAATCCGAAAATAGAGATTTTCGAATGTCAATAAAATTAATGGCATTGTTATAAAATGGGAAGCTGTTTATGATATGATGAATAATGAAAAGTGGAAAGTATATAAAATTACAAAATAAAAATACCGCTTATAAAAGTCCTTAAAATACAAATACAATATACCCTCGTAAAAACAGAATTTAAATACAAAATACAAATACGAATGTTTTTTATTTTGTATTTGTATTTTAAATATCTGTATTCCATTCTATTTATACTCTACTCATTTGAGAAACGTTTTCTTCTTCAATGCTGTTCACTAATGCACCTAATATTGGCCTAACCCCACGTCTCCATTTTCTACCAAATATGTCTTACCATAAAATTTCTGTTTTGACTTTGTCCCGTTCTCTCATGTGGGCGACTTTGTGTCTTAACATATCACTTTCAAACTGGCATCAAGCCGATCAGATCGGTCTGTACCCAAACTGAGTTGTCCAACTATGAAATGACAGCTGATGTTAAGACAGCGATGGTAAGCAATTTGGCAAAACAGATATGGCTAACAGTGCAAATTTGCGGTCTCCACCTGACATTTCTGTCTTACCACAGCTTTTTTAACAGCATCTGTAGAAGGTGGAGACGTGGGGTAACGATTGTCGCGAAGATACATACTTAAAATAGTAGCGGTTAGGTTATGTTGAACCATAAATGGTCTAACATAGACAAAGACCACGTCCATAGTGTTGCCAGATCCGAAGGACCCTTGAATCCGTGCATTCACGCAATGTTGAAGAACACTCCCGTTACTTTAAAATACGAATGTGGCAGGGAATCCAACTCGTGGCGAGTTTCCCGATTTGCTGGGAATTTCAGTTTGTCGTGGGGAATCGGGGAATTGACCTTTTTTGTCGGGAATTTAAAACGCTGAGCCATAAACATTTATGTACCTATTCTTTTAGTTTTTTTATTACTTTTGGACTGAATTTTATATATTATATATGAATATGTTTTTTAGAAAACAAATTGAACAAACTTTCGTAAAAATTTCGAGCTTGAGCTTTTTAATTAGATTTTTATAAAGATTTTGAGTATGCAGTTTTGTAGCTCGTTCAATTCTAATATAATAAAGTTTCAAATGGCTAACGGTAGTTGATTCTTTAGAATTTTCTTTGTCGCACTTGGTTTCATATAAACACAATTTATTTTTATATGAAAGAAAATCGCAACACCTTCGGCAAACAAATCTAAAACCGAAATTTTTAGCCACTTGTAATTTGCACTTTATGTACTAGAATTAAGTGGGCTACTAAAAATCTTTCTAAAAGATCTAATTAAAAAGTTTGAAGCACGGATTTATACGGTATTCGTTAAAGAATAAACTATATTTTTATAAAAATTAAATACCCGAAAAAATAAATAAATAATAATAGTTGTAAATANAAAACTGCATACTAAAAATCTTTCTAAAAGATCTAATTAAAAAGTTTGAAGCACGGATTTATACGGTATTCGTTAAAGAATAAACTATATTTTGATAAAAATTAAATACCCGAAAAAATAAATAAATAATAATAGTTGTAAATAAAACCTTGTCAAAATTTGGTGCCACTAAATAATATTATATACAAGTATACATTTTTATACCCGAGCGCACTTGTGCACAAGGNATTCGTTAAAGAATAAACTATATTTTTATAAAAATTAAATACCCGAAAAAATAAATAAATAATAATAGTTGTAAATAAAACCTTGTCAAAATTTGGTGCCACTAAATAATATTATATACAAGTATACATTTTTATACCCGAGCGCACTTGTGCACAAGGGTATATTAATT